GAGAGCAGGACAGCAATTATGGGGTACCTCTCTTTTTCGCAGCTTGAGGTACGGGGGGCTTCTGACGCGGAGTGTCCACGCGAAACACAGAGTAATGTTCTTCAACTTTCTTGTTTATTTGGTTATCACTAGGAACTACTTTCGCACTTCAAGTATTATTAGATTGGCTTAGAAAATCGTAAACACGTCTACACTGGACAACGGTTTGGACGAAGAGGAATAATGATACCTATATTTTAAATAAACACAATAATCAATAATGATACCTATATTTTAAATAAACACATTCTAATGACACGTTTCACAGAACGCTAACTCTGTATAGCCCCAAATTTTCTTCAATCCACGTCAAAACGAAGACGAATTGCTAAATATAAAAGCAACAATCCATCTTTCGCGAATTTCAAAGAAAATTCGAATACGAGCAGAATCGATTCGGTAATTTGATTCGAATCGATTCGGCTCAGCTATTCGATTTAAAAAATCGTCTCGATTTAATTTTGGCTACGATTGTGGAATATTTTATTATACCGATGTTCTGTGTAGGGTCCATTGGATTTGGGATAATGGAAAAGGCTAGTTTGGTCTTCTCTTTTTGTTTGGCTTGATTTTAAATTGTATTGTGTAATCGGCTATTTTTAGAAAATTACGTAAAATAGAGTTTTATGGTCGTGGTGGCCCGGAGGTTAAGGAGCCCACTTCTCATGCATGAGGGTGTGGGTTCGAAATCTGGCAAGTACCAATGTGACTTTTTCCGAGTTATATGTACTTTCTATGATTATTTAGACACCACTGACATACGGTGAAGGTAAACATCGTGAGGAAACCTGGGCTTATAATTTCTAATTATAAGTTTGAAATCGCCAACCCGCATTGGTGATTAATTTTGTTTTTGTTTGTTTGTTTGTTTTTAAATAAACGATGCCCCACATTAGGATTTTCTCCTGTATCGTGGGTGCGGTTACAAACATACAATTTCACATGCACATGACACCCAGACCCGGAACAACAATTTGTGGATCACACAAAGAGTTGTTCAAAACGAAAAAACGAGCTCAAACTCAAACTCATGTATTGCGAAATGGGTAGTGACAATCGGCCTTGAGCCAGGAGAAGGTTCTTATCAAAGAAAATATTAGAAAAGTAGAGTGGAATATTAGGAAAAAGTGAGCCTTTGATAGCGAGATAGTTGGACCCGTGCGAAGCGGGGGCGGGCCGCTAGTAAGTAATACAATCTATCACATAATATATTGCTTGATCTAAACAGTGGTTCATTTAAAAAGCAACCACAACACCAAGTACTAGAGACCAAAATTCACTAAAAATATGTGCCTGTTACCAGCCCCTATAACCTACAAAGGGGAGCTCAATCTGCGAGCTAACTCAAACAGATGTAATGATGTATGTCCTAGGCTTTACAAAGAGCTGAGCCTATACCTATGGGTGTAGACAGTAACACCCATAGGTATAATTCGTATGCTTAATAGAAAAGAGGCCTAACTCAAAAAAGAAGATATTTAAATTTAAAATCTTATTTTTTAATGATAAGTTTAAGTTTTGAAGTACCCTTTTTTATGAGTTATTTCTGTTTTCTTTTAAACATACGATATACATTCAGTCAACAAAGTATCGGGAATGAAAGTTTTTTTTATGGTTCCAAATTCGAATTTTTTTTTTTTTTGTTTTAGTTAGATTGGCATAACTGTTCCATTTCAGCGCGGAATTTGAGTTGCATCTGTTATTTATATTAAAAACAGTGCTGTTTTTAGTTTTATAATATCTAGTGTGTATTGCGAATTTCATAATGGACAAAAACATCGAACAAAGAGTTTGTCTTAAATTTTGCATCGCCAATGAAATTTCGTGTTCGGAGGCACTCAAAATGTTACAGAAGGCTTACGGTGAATCTACTTTATCAAAAACACGTGCTTATGAGTGGTACAAAGCGTTCAAAAGCGGTCGAGATGTGATGGAAGATTTGCCTCGTTCTGGTAGGCCATCAACGTCTGCAACTGAAGTTAACATCGCAAAAGTGAAGGAAATAGTGACTGAAAATCTTCATTCAAGTTTAAGAGAGATGGCCGCCGAACTTTGTGTATCTCACGAGTCGATCCGTACCATTTTAACAAATAATTTGGGTATGAAACGTGTTGCCGCTCGGCTAGTCCCAAAAAACCTGAATTTTCTTCAAAAACTAAATCGCATGAAAGTCGCTGAGGACATGCTAGAACGAGTCAATACCGACCCAACATTCATGAAACGCATTGTTACTGGTGACGAGACGTGGGTTTACGAGTTTGACATGCAAACTAGTCAACAAGCTTCGGAATGGCGCCTTCCAACTGAACCAAAACCGAAAAAACCACGTCAAAGTCGATCAAAAGTCAAAGTCATGTTGACTGTTTTCTTTGACTATCGCGGTGTTGTGCACTCAGAATTCTTGCCCGAAGGTCAAACGGTAAATAAAGAATATTATTTGAGCGTGATGCGGCGTTTAAGAGAACAAATTCGACGAAAAAGGCCAGAAGTGTGGAAAGAAAATTCTTGGATTTTGCATCACGATAATGCGCTTTCGCACAAGGCCATCATTGTAAACGATTTTTTGTCCAAACACTCAACAAACACCATCGAGCAGACACCATATTCACCAGATATGGCTCCAGCCGACTTCTTTCTTTTTCCCACACTCAAATTACACCTTCGTAGCACCCGTTTTCAATCGTTAGAAGACATAAAGGAGAATTCGCGGCGAGCACTGAACTCAATTCCGGAAACAGCGTTTAAAAAAAGTTTCGATGATTGGATTATTCGTTGGCGTAAGTGTATCGTTTCTGAAGGAGCATACTTTGAAGGTGATAAAATGAATTTAGATGAATAACAAACATTTTGTGTATTATTGACTTTTTCCCAGTACTTTCTTGACAGAGTAGTATGTATTTACATGTACACTTTTTTATGTCGATAGGTCGGTAAACGAGCTGACGGATTACCTAATGGTAAGCAAACGGTGCCGCCTATGGACACCCGTGACACGAAAGGATTATGTGTCCGTGTGTTTAAATAATCATAGAAAGAACATGTTAGTTGGAAAAGTCACATTGGTACTTGCCAGGGTTAGAACTCGCACCTTTATGCATGAGAAGTTGGCGTCACAAGATTTGACTACGACCAGGGCCTCGAGTCTGCTATTACAATAGTGTCAGAATAGTAGATCATTGGTTGCAAAATTGTTGATTTTGACAAGTTTTGGTAATCTACTAACACGATAGCATCATTATGATCTACCAATGCCACTTCATTGAAATAATTCTTTAGAACGGTAATATCGTACATAATGACAAATTAATATTTGACATAATGCGATAAATTAATAAAAAATGTCAGTTCCTTTATTCAATGATTTACGTTTAGAATATTAATGTGCAGTTATTGTTTATAATTCGTTACAAGACATCTCGTACTATAATTATATTACGACATCGCCGAACGCCAATGATCAGTCATTTTGAATTAACAGATTACGAACTTTTAGCAAAATGACAATGGAATTGTGTAGGAATGACAACACTTTGAAAATAGTAGACTCGGGCCCCAGTTAGGCCTCTTCTCTATTAAACTTACGAAATTTTTTAAAGAATCATGTCTATCTATAATTAAAAGAGCTTTTAACATATTCGACGTGCTTTGCGTATACGAAAGAGTTGAACATCGAAATTCATAGCTCAATTTTATCTGAAAACTAAAAGTTATTAGTTTCATCTCTTTCTTTTTCTTTCTTCTACTCCCTCAATCGGCTTATGTCAGTCAACGCGCGGGAAGAACAGAGATATTGGAATTTGTGTAGGTATCACACTGCCTCACTCGTCATAGCAGTAATGTGTACTGTACATACAGCTCATTTGATTACATTCCACTCAAATGAATTATTGTATTAAATATTAACGTTTAGACTGCAATGTAATTAATATTCAATGATTAATTACATTTATGTAAACAATTTGAACAAATAAAACTATCATTCGGTAACGATGAACCAGTTGGCTGTGAAAAACTTTGGCTGTGAATTAAATATTAGGTCAATTAACATTTTAGTGCGGTTCAAATCATTTAGGTACAGTCCATTAATGATCTAAACGATTTTAGACTCGTGCTAATCAGTCTATTTTACCCAAAAAATATAAAAACTGTGAATAACCTAACCAATAACATTAATTTATTGGACAGTCGCATATATAAATGCCCAAAATCAAAGTAAAAGTCGAAGTCGAAAACATATTCAACTGACTAAACTATATGCAGCTATACTTTTGAAACGTCAAAATAGAATAAAAGTCCGTCAGTGAAGTGTGAATTGCTATTACTAAATATTTTCTCTTATGTGTTAGGTCGGCAAACCAGCTAACTGATTAGGTATCTGATGATAAGCAATCAGCATCGACCATGTACATTTGCAACACCAGAGGAGTAACAGTAAGAGAAGCCTTTGAAGAAGTGATGGGGAAAGGACAAGGGTTAGGCCTCCCGTTACCTATTACACACTGCGAAACATACCGCTTATTTGCGAGGAGAAAACCATCAAATGTCTTCTCCCGCCCAGGGTCACACGAGAAGGAGTATCAGGTTCCTACTGACTAAAACCCCTTAAAATTCTTTATTCTGCTCTAGGCCAACGTGACATATTGCGCTTGCCCTGCAACCCCGGTTAAACATCAGCCCTATAGGGCCATGGCTGTGCTTGTCTAATGGCTCGTTGCTAAACGCACCGTGCGCTCGGGTCTGGTTCTGGTCTGACGGTGACTGCGATTATTTTACCCTTACTTGCCGCGAAACATAACGCTATGGTTTGTTCACACCGGTTTACTGTCAGGCTGTAGTATCAATCCATTCGAGCCAATCTATTCGTGCCGAAGCATGACTCTCCCACACTTGTCAGATCCTGGTTTACAGGAGTTTTAGCAGTTTTTCTTGTTCCTTTAATAAAGACATTTATATAGTCTTACCTCTCAACACGTGCACTGACACAGCGGACGCGGCGACGTCAGCTAATGAGCACGTATAGTTCCCTGAATCATTTCTGTTGGCGTTCGCTATGTAGAGACGTGATAGGGCGCCGTTGGATGTCGCCTCCGTCTTAACACTGTAGACAAAGAAATTCGAATTTAATCGTCATGTTTTTAAATAAAATGCATATTAAAACATCAATATGATTTCAAAAACAATTTACAACATTGCGTGAACTTTCCATAAAAACTCTACTATTTTCGAGTCATGTCATTACTCATAATTATGAGCAAAGTACCCGCTACCACGCTACCATTTCGTTATAAACAAAAACAATCCCAAATAAAAAAAACAACTTGAAAGGTGTCAAGGACAGACAGAAGGGAAAGGGAATTGATATAAAATATTATCTTAATAAGTTTACCCGTACTTATAAACTCGGCGAAATAGAAAGACGAAACCAAATTAACTGGGCATACACAGAGAGAGAGAGCAAAAAGAAACGTTACAATAACTATTCGTAAACCGTCTACGACCTTTCGCGACGCGCGATAAAGAACTTCGTTCCAACATACGTTGTTAGTCTCAGAAATCGTAACCAAGATCCCCAACTTGACTATTGTAATTAAATTCAAGTGCATTCAACATACATGACATACATTTTTCTGAAATTACGTACAGTCTGCAGCTATTATGTATACAGGTAGGAAAATAAAAATTGACTCTGTACTGCACCTATTGTTAGAAGGCTAAGTCATAATCTTTTGTAACTATGGGTCGGCTCGGTACCTAAACAATGGTAGCTAGTAGACAGTCCTACTGAATCAATGTTTATTTTAGTACCAGCATACCTGATAATAGCCGATAAACCTGTATTTATACGAATTTAATGATGAATTTACGAATAAACTTAATCGGATTGGGCCGCGGTGGCCTGAAGGTTAAGACACCCATTGCTCATGCATGAGGGTACGGTTCCAAAACCTGGCAAGTAGCAATGTGACTTTTTTCTGTGAAGTTACATATACATATATGTAGGTACTATTGTACTTCCTATGATTTTTTAGACAATACTGACGAACGGAGAAGGAAAACATCGTGATGAAACCTGAACTTATAATTTCTAATTATAAGTTTGAATTCGCCAATCCGCCTAGAGCAAACGTGGTGATTAACGCGAGTGAGGTGAAGCCTTTTCTTAGTAGTGGGACTTATAAGATGATGGTGGAATCTAATTCAAGAATTCCAAAATTCCCTCATCCTAACAAAATCTTCCGAGAAACAATCAAATAACTTCAATCAATTTTCAACCCTATAAACATCCAACAACATCAGTATCCGATCAAAACTTCAACTTGAAACAATTAAAGAACCAACAGAATCGACATTTGATTAAAAGAGAACTTCGACCAGTCAGGACAGATGGATGCTACTGTCAATCCACCTGATTGGAAAGAGGGAATCCTGACCTAGTTTGGGGAAACTGAATCGAGTTTTTCCGACAGTTCGCTTTAAGGCTCATTTTAGTTTCCTTTTACGTTTTTCAGATGAGAATTTCTTTGTTGTATGTACGTCGTAATTACTTTTGTGGAATATATGCATGGTTTGTTGTGTAAAGAATTATTAACATAGCCTAATAAAGTTGGATAGAAAAGAAGAATTGGGTAGTGTTCTTGGTCAAAAAGAAGTTATTTTGACTTTTCAATACGATGGGTCATTAAAATATAATTATGCTTTCATTCATTAAACAGATGATATTTTTAAATTTTAAATCTTTTATAGCTTTTATAGATATTAATTTGTAATCCGATGATAGTATGACGTCATACGTTGTGATTGAATAGAAAAGTATAGTTTTTGGCATTGTAATAAAATTATTGAGTTTCTCTGGTTACGGCTAATGTCGCAGTTGTTTTCAACACAGAAATAAAAAAAACATTATTTTTTGTGTCCTTTGTTCTTTTGTTTTACTATTTAAACTCAATTTCCGCTTCCATAATTATTTATTTTTTATTTAATTGGAAAATAGAATAAAAATAAAATAGAAATAAGTGTGGGAGAGCCATGCTTCGGCACGAATGGGTCGGCTCGAACGGAGTGATACCACAACCTTACAGAAAACCGACGTGAAAAAACCACAGAGTTGTGTTTCGCCGTGTGAATGAGGTTACCGGAGGCCCAGGCCTTTCCCTCCCCCAATTCCCAATTCCCACTTTTTATGCAATATGTCGGCAAACAACGCAACGCCTCGTAACTCCTCTGCTGTTGCGGGTGTCCATGGGCGGCGCTGATTACTTACCATCAGGTAATTAATCCGCGTGCTGGTTTGCAAATTTATTACATTAAAAAAATCTGGAAATTATTTGTAATAAGACCCAAGCACTTGCGTACCTGTCTTCAGAATGAGTCCACTTAAACTGGTATGGTTCTTTCCTCAAAAGACCTCTACAGAATGAACTTGCACGGTTCTCTCACATTATGTTATTTTTACATTGTCTGGACTTGAATAGAGACTGACCTCTGAGTTTGTTTTGGTATTTCTTCTTAGAGTAGTCACATAGGAAATGCCGGCTTCATTGATTTTTTTTTTCATATAATTTGACGTGTAAAGGTGCCGTTTTATGGCCTATTTGCAAATATAAATTCATTGTTTCATTGTATCAGTACACTACTTTTCATCCGGGTAACGCGGGCGCATTAGGTGGAAGAAGTTAGCTACAAAATATCCTTGAACTTCTACAAAACGGTGAAGTTGAGGTATTTCACTTAGAATTCCCTTTTGTTATGAGACTAAACTAAACGCTCTGCTCGACTTAACATTTTAATTAAACCCGATGGGATAAGCAGAAAGGGTGCTCCTTCTGAATAAATCTTTTGTTTTCATTATTTTGTATCGTGTTGGTTTTTGGATGGGCCGTGGTTTATATCATTAAGCCATGCTTTCTAATGCTGTTAAAATGATTTAAAAGTTAATATTATGCATGCTTCGGTTGTGTTGTTGTTGTTTTAAACAAAATAGATGTGAGTTTTTTTAATAATGTTGCCCTACATTGGGATTTTCTTCTGTGTCGTGGGTGCGCTTACAAACATACAAATTCATATACACAAGCCATCAAGACCCAAACAAGAATTTTTAGATTACACAAAGTATTGTTCCGTGCGGGAATCCGACCAACGATACTTTGCACAGCAGCCAGTTGCCCAGCCACTGAACTAACCGTCAAAATTTACTCTTCCTATCTCTACGAAGATCGTGATGTCATGATAATTATGTAATGTTAGCAAGACGATCCCTGACCACCCTAATCGCGAGGAACGGCAAGGAAGGGAAGGTCGCCGCCCAACCAGAACCAGAACCGAGCGCACGGCGCGCAGTGATCCGCGCACGTTTCTAAGGTCCAATTGATCACCACAAATGGAGCTCAATAGGACTGATGCTCAGCCGGAGTTGCAGGTAAAGCGCAAAATATCCTGCAGGCTCACCTTAGTGCACGAGAAAGGAGAAAGAAGAAAGAAGTCTAGTAAGTAAGAGATAAAGAGAGTAAGATGATACTTCCTCTCACTTCACTCTAGACGAGAAAAGTCATTTAATAATACGGTAGTTTCCAACTAGTCAAATTCAATACTTTGTATTGTTAAATTTGTATGAAAAACTGAATTATGACGTCATAGTATTTTTGAATAGAATAGCGTACTTATTTCTTAAAAATTAGCTTAAAAAATATCGAAAATTTAGTGTATCGATCGACCGATGAATAAAATTACAGGTATTTTTCAAATTTTTATTGTATTGAAACGTCGAAATAATTTATTTTTTACCTAGGATACTACCCAATTCCAAAAAACAAACCCCTAAAGAATTTTAAAATGACGATGAGTTGATATATTTAGTAAGTATTTCTGTAATAATTACGGTCACATAGAACCAGTGCCTCACCCTTGATCATCAATCGGCAATTATTGGAATCTCAATATGACTTTGAAGGTCGGACTTGGGTCCGATATTTAGCATATTGCTGAACCCAAAACATACCACAAATAACATAATTTTCAAAGAGTGGGAGTGCTAAACATACCTCTTTCTACGATTTTCTTAATGAACTTGACATTTACAAAATCGAGTTAAGGTTTTTTTCTATGACTTAACTATTTTAAGGACAAATAAACAGGTCGATAAATGAATATTTATTTGGTTTAGAATAAGAAACAAAAAAACAGTACCTACTTGAGACCATGGATATAAGATTCAAATTTTTATACCGATTTCTTAACGCATTGTCAATAATAAGCAAGCATTGGATGGTTTTAAAACAAGTTTAGTTCGCTATGAAACCTTTTCGCAGCTTACAAAGTGATCCTTCTTTAAGATTTGATAAACATTGAATTCCTAATGTATTAAAATTATGGTAGTATAGGTTAACTAAGAGACAGATTAATGAACTGAAACGATGTAGACAGAAGAAAACTGGACTGTAAAGAAGAAAAAGGTGATAAAGTAATAAAAGAAAAATTAATGAAAGGGATGATGAATCGAAAACTATATGAAACGTTCTATAGCCCTTTATAGTCTTCTCTCACCTAGGATATGGCGAGTGCGAGTGCAGACTCTTGCTGACTAACCCCCGTTTCTTCTCTAGCGTCAGGCCGGGGCCACGGGACCTAGTTGCGTTTGACCCGCAACCACGGCTAAACTTCGGGTCTTTTGAGCTCCGTCTGTGGTGGTCTATTGTCTCTTTGAGGCTTCATGTTTATTTTAAGTTGCTCATTGCAAGAGGAAAGAATAAATGAAGCCACATCCACATAAAATACTATGTTTACAATTTTCCGGTTGGCGCGGTGGCTGGGCTAGACTAGATGCTGTACAAATTGTTGGTTCAGGCTGGATGAAAAAATTAACAATTACAAAATGTTTGCCTTGCCTATGTGTCTTATGTGTATTTATATGTTTGTAACACACCTACGATACAGGAGAAAATCTTAGTAAGGGTTTTCCTTATAACTAAAAAAAAACGTCGGTAAACAAAACACTACCTTTCATATGCTTTAAGTTATTGATAGGAAGAATTGTGGAAAGAAAATTTGAAAAGAGAACAATAATTTATTATTAATTTATTTATAGAAGTTTTCCATTTTTGAACGTAGAAATTCAATACAAAATGTTAGTCACAAATGAACGAACCTTTCGAAAATGATTGAAGAAAAAATACGAAAAATTCAAAAAACAAAGCCAGGAAAAAGATGACTGAATAAAATATAAAATATCTGTAGAAAATTACGAATAAAATATATTTTCTCGTGTTGATTACAAAATCAAAAGAAATATAAAAGAAGTTATCGGTTGTTGAATCAGCGCTGTCGACAAAGGAACAAATTCTATTTTTGTCTTTTGTGTTAAGTAGGTATTGAAACACGGGGTTGTGTGAAAAGGTTTTCGAAAATACGAGTAAATAAAAGTCTTGATTACTGTTTTCTTCCTCTTTTTAGTTGTGAATATTTTCAAATGACTTCTTCCTGGGTGGGGCGAGAGAGAGTGTCAGAATCTTATTGGCCAAAAAACACTCCGTTCCTTCTTCTGTACCAGGTCTCGCCCGCTGTACATTATCGTGTTTGCATTCAAAACCTTTTGTTAGTTATCTAGAAACCATAGTTTTAGAGGATTAGGTTAATCAGATAACGGTGTCACCCAACATCACAAAGGAAAACTATAATTAAAATTCAACCTTTAATTTATGATCCTTCTTCTGCTTCTAGTCGGGTTAATCTATTTAGTATCTGTAATAATTTTGTTCAATCTAATAATATACGTATTATTTAGCAAACGTAACAATTCACAACTCTTTAATGGTCTATAGAAAAGCGTGTGAACAAAAAAAAAGCGTTGTTTCGCCGTGTGAGTGAGGTTACCGAAGGCCCAATCCTTCCCCTCCCAAACCCAGAACCTCCTTAACCTTAAAAAGTCGGCAACGCACTCGTAATTTCTGCTGTTTTGTGGGCGATACTGATTGCTTACCATCAGAAAACCCATAAGTTGGTTTGCCGTCTTACCACATTACATTTTATCACTTTAAATCAATTACTTACGTTACGCAAAAAATCTTAGATACACTTTAATAATTGGCAAAGATTTGTACTGCTAGGTCAACATTATGATCCAGAGCGTTCAATACTTATATCTGTGTGAGCCCTAACTTCTCTTAAAACTCAATTAATAAGAAAACAAAGTAATATCAACTAAATCAACGTACCTTATAATTAGAAACCTGACATGGACTTTATAAATTCCCGTTATTTGACTTTCTTACTTCAATTTGCTTGGCTATCTAGTTAATTAAATATAACCCTACTAAATCAAGTAGGTAGGCCAGTCGAAACAAATACACCAATTTTACACCTCATAAATTTAAGATGGATAAAATATTATGCTTTTGGTCTAGGTGAAGTGTTGTGTAATTTGGTAATACGAGGTGGTTGGATAAGGTTTCTGCTTTGAAGTTACTTTGTAGTTAGGTACTTAAGGCTTCGTATGTAGGTACTGCTTATATAAAGATCTTATAACCTTAACAATTTAGACTATTAACGTAGATAGAATAAAAACTTTTGATGATTTAAAGTTAACTCATAGCTTAATTTCCTCATCATTATCATCAGCCTATAAGTGCCCACTGCTCAGCAAAGGCCTCTTCTCACACGGAGAATGTTTGAGCATCATTTTCTACGCTTATTAAAGGCGGATTGGCGCTTTCAAACTAATAATAAGACATTATAAGACCATGTTTCTTCAGTGGTATCTGTATAAACAGAAAATGTACATAATACTAGAAAATAGTCACATTGGTACATGCCTTGGTTACGAACCCGCAGCCTCGTGCATGAGAAGCAGGCGCCTTACCCGCCTGGCGACCACGAGTGACCACGACATAATTTCTTATATTTTATTAGTTAAAAATTAACAAGGCTATTGTTTAAACTTTCTAACTTCGTAGACAACATACATAGGACTGCACGGTTGGTGCGGTGGCCGGGCAACTGGCTGCCGTGCAACGTGTCGCGGGTTCGATTCCCGCACGGAACAACTCTTTGTGTGATCCACAAATTGTTCGGAAATGCCTCAATTTTCGAGTTAATTTATACCTATATGAATAATTGAAGATTTGAAATCGAAGCTCGATAATCTAAATCCTTTAATTTTCTTAAACTTCAACCGAAAACGTTCCTTACTAAGTACTAACCACTCAGAACAACTAGTTCCGTGGCGATAACTACCTAAAATTTATTAATTTCTATCCTGCGAAACGTTTTCAGTGAAGATTCTATAAAGTGGAATTAATTCTAGCGAAATTCTGCGCATAGCTGCTGTAGATTATTGTATTTGGGTAAGTTTAAATGCTTAAGAGTATTATGGTTGCCCCTCCGAACAATATCTTGGCGAAGGAAATTAATTTTGACTTGTAGATTGAGTGCTGAAAAAGTCTTAGATAAGGGGTGATTTTTTTTTCGGTTTCCGAAAGGATATTGGCACGATAGGTTCATGCGTGTTCATTTTTTGTGCTGTTAGTTAACGTGGTATCTTATTAATATAATAAATTGAGTGTGTGTTATTCTTTCATTCAAAAACGACTGGATCGATTTGTTTGAAATTGGGTATGTAGATAGATTACCTTAGATTAACACATAGAGAGGTCTTTATCAATATACCACGCGGGCGAAGCCGTATACGGAAGCTAGTCTATTATAAGTTTGTTATTAGTACAATGGTTATTCACATTGACATAATGGCCAATTCTTCAATTTCGAAATTAAAATTCATTATCATGTTAAGGTACAAGGCACAATTAAAATTCCCCTCACATGATGTGTTTAATAAAATATTCCTACTGAAAAACCATAAATAGTAATAAAATTTAAACGAAAAACCAGGTCCATCTACTCCTTAAAAGAAAAAGTATAACAGTACGTTATAATAAATATTATTATAGAGTTACCAACACCACTTACAAGTAAAACCGCAACAAAGAATCTCCGTAGAGCAACTTAAATTACATACGTAACATTATGTAGAGTCATATACATATGTAGAGTTTTATAAAACCACAACGTAGAATTACCTAGAGTTTCCACAACACCAATAATGTATTTAAATCAAGAATATTCGAGTCTATTGTACAGTAATCCGAATTGTTATATACTCCTACTATCTAAAATAATTACACCATAATACATTTATGTAACATAATTATTAATTTATAAATGTTAGCCCATATCAAATTTTGTTTTTATTTTATTTAGGTTTATATTTTAATATGATAAATACTATTTTAATATTATTAGTTCTAGTTATAATTTCCATATATTTTGTCTTTACAAACGCATAATTTTAAGAATGTTGGTTAGCTCGTAACTGGCTAATGTGAACAAATTTAATGTTTTTTTTTACTTGCTATAAACTAGTGCTTGACTGCGATCCTACCTGATGGTAAGCAGTGATGCAATCGTTGATGGTAAGGCGCACTAGTTTATTAAGAGCCTACTCACTCTAGCCTTGAATACACCTAAATTATATTTGTACGGAAAGACTGCAGCCGGCAAACTGTTCCAATCCCTCCCAAATACTTCTAACTACTTTGTATACATAAGCTATGAGCCTTCCTATTATAATACATAAATAAATAATAAATAGACACGGTAAAAATACATTTCTAAAAGCCTTACCTAACGCCGCCTCTTTTAGTATCATAGTTGAGCAACCTTGAGCCATGCTTCCAGTTGACCTGTCGCGTTGGCTGAGGCACTTCGCTGACCACACAGCGAAGCTCTATGATAGAGCCTTCTTTGTAGAACTTGTCCTGTAGTGGCCGACCGCGTTCGTCCACGATCTCAACTTTTGGTACTGTAACAAGAAAAAAAAAAACAGATAAATATAAAATAAGTAACTCTGTCTGTCTGTCTTTTCTTCACGCCTAAACTTCTCAACTGATTTCTGTGAAATTTGGTACAGACATAATTTGGAACTCGAGAAAGGACATAGGATAGTTTTTATACCAAAAATCTGTAGAAGGTCACTATTTCACGCGAACGGAGTCGCGGGCAAAAGCTAAAAATGTTTTAGGTGATATTTGGGTACGAATGGGTCTTATCGGTCGGAGTGATACCACGGCTTCGAAGGGAACCTGGAAACGCAAGGTTCGAAGGGAAACGGAAAGTAAGGTTACTAAAGGCTTAATGCTTTTTCTCACCTTTTGAATAACCCCAATCCCAAAATATCTAATACCCAAAAGGCCCGTATGACAGGAATTTATGTTCAGCGCCAATTGCTGAACATCAGAAGACCCTCGGTGGCAGCTTATTCAAAAAATATAACTTTACTTATTTTTACACGACTTCCCAAAAATAATAAAATAACTGCGTCAAAATTTATATGCAAGATTTAACTTCACAAACGCACTATTAATCCCGAGCGTATAGCTCGTAGCGTTCCGTGCTTGAGGCCCAATGGGGCAGATGTTCAGCCGAAGTTGCCAAACGCAATAAGGTACCGAAGTCTCGGCCTAAAGCAGGAGTTGAAACAGTATAGTCAGTAAGAGACTGACACTACTCTGACCTGACCTTTCCTGATGATCTTTCCCTCCAAAAAAGGTACAATAGAATACATCAGCATCATTCTCATTACATGCCTATAAGTACCCACTGCTGAGCAAAGGCCTCTTTCCACACGGAGAAGGTTTGAGCATTAATCACCACGCTTGCTCAAGGCGGATTGGCGATTCCAAACTTATAATTAGAAATTATAAGTCCAGGTTTCCTCACGATGTTTTCCTCAGTGGTGTCTAGATAGTCATAGAAAGTACATATAACTCGGAAAAAGTCACATTGGTACTTGTCAAGTTTCGAACCCGCACACTCATGCATGAGAAACGGCGCCTTAACGACCGGGTCACCACGACATGTGTAGAATACATACCTACATGGCAAATGAAATAAAATCTTGGAAAAATCTCAATAATGCCTATTATATCTGACAGTGCAAACTTGGCAAGCACTCGACTAACAAGACAAGCAGAAGGATGACATTTTAATATTTCTCTTTTAAACAATATAATTTTATTCTGAGCATAGCCTGCTGAAGAACGTTATTAAGTTTCCACTACAATGCAATAAAGGGTGTTTTAAAACAAGGAGTGTCACTTGCCCTGTCTTGTAAAACCGAATGAAACCGGTTTTAACTAGTTCCTTGTATTGTAGGGAACGAAATGTTTTGAGGTTAAAGATGTTTATTTTTTAATGAAAGAAAGAGTTTTTATTTAGGATTTTGCTAAAGTATTATTGTGGATTTTTTACAAGATGAATGAATTATACCTAACGGTATACTCACGTAAGCGTTTGGCGACATTGCTCAACTAGTTTCAGTTTAAATAGCTAATTTGTTAACTCGTTCGCAACATCTGGCGTCACACAATGCCATCCATGATATGAGCCGCTAGCGTGACTTGAAACTGGTCAAGGAATCTACGTACCACGGTTAATTTTTTTACGATATTTGCAGACGAAAATATTTTTTTTTCGCTTTGATTTCCGTAGTAAGGAAAAAAACATTCTAAATTCCTCTCCGTAAATAGAAGATCTATAGACTAATATTAATTAAGTCAAACGAAATCTGGCATCCTAATACCCGAACCCGACCAGAACCAGACCCGAGCGTGCGGCGCGTAGAAATCTGCACGCGCCTCAAAGAGCCAATAGACCACCACAGACGGAGCCCTATAGGCTGATGTCTAGCCAGCAGCCTCTTGAGCAGGAGAAGGAGCGGGTGGTTTTTAGTCAGTAAGAGTCTGCCACTCTCTCTCACCTTGCCGTGGGCGGGAAAAGTTATTTGATGATTTATCCTCCCTCAAAAAAAGCCACTGCCTAATCAAGAAGTAAAGTCACGAAAAACAACTAGTGTCCACTAAAGCCCGTTAGGTCGCCTTCCAGTACACACTAACCTTGTGTTTATGATTCCATTCTCATCCTAAATATCTATTAAGGCCCCCAAATGTCCTTTATTAGTTTAGGGACCTAAAAGCAACGGGTGGCCGATATTAAGGTTAGCCCTTAAGTAAAAATGATAGCTATACTGTTTTAGATAAACTGTTTACCTAATAGCTATGGTTATTATATAGAAGTGTACGATTAGCTCCTTCTGATATTATTAAAACTAGAGTGAATTGTGTAATTATGGTTTATAATAGATAAAATGGCATTGTTACTGGAATGTACACTGACAATTTTTAATAAGTGCGAGCACGATTACTTTTCGACGAGTGTAACAGCTGACTGTCCTGTCGTGACGTGTAGGCGCAGGTGGCGTCATTTGATGCTATGTCTCGCTCAGGTCGTCGCGCTAGTCTTAGAGTCAATCATATTTACTGATCACCCTCTACAAAAGTGACAGAAGAACCGTCAATTTTATATAGCGTACCACGCGCTCCTCTAACTGCTAAAAGACCACCATTGGTGGGGCCCAATAGCGCCGATGTTCAGCTGAGATGGCGGAGCAAAAGCATTAACGTCGCACGGGCTTGGTCTCGAGCAGAAGAAGAAATTAGTAGGTTTTTAGTCAGTAAGAGTTTGACACTCTTAACACTGGCCTTTCCTTCTGCGGGATAAATCAGAACATTTTCTTCTCACAAAAAAAGTCAAAGGTTTCTTGGTCAGTTTTCCCATATAGTTTTATATTTGTATATTTGTCTGGTAGTAGTATATTTGTTTGTATACTTTATATCATCTCTAAATATAGTAGTGATACTAATTATTGACACACTAGAACTGTCAATGTCAGTGTCATCCTTTACTATAAATAAAGTGGCCGAGACATTGTCGGCCATTGACAATGTAACTCTGGTGCAGTGAGCTGCCCGACTGTGTACTGTGATATTAAAGTCAAGTATCCAAAATTAAAGTCTTTTATTCATATTACATTTTAAAGAGAATGTGCTCTTTGAGTTGGATTGGGAGTTTCTTCTTAAGACAATCAACAGGCTCATCGAAAAAAATATATAATTAAATATTAATGTGGAAAATTTTTATTTCCTAGCCCACTTCCAAAGTAAATATGTATAGTTTTACTTGTATTTGAACTGTTCTTATAAACAGAGGTATGGTTGTATACTGAACATTTTTGGAGAAAAGCACACGTAAGTAGGTTGTTGCAGAAAACGAAAAAAAAAGAAAAATGTAAACATCGCCTCTCTATTTAACGCAAACCACCCATTACTATTCAAGTTGCGTCCCAAACAAATAAATATCACATTTACTGTTTAAACGAAGCAAAAATTCTAAAAATATCCACTTAAACGAGTATAGTCTCTATGCTGATTGCAAATAGGAGGAAAATTGCGGAACAGTCGTTTTTAATATTAAATGCTCATTCATGTGGTGAAGGGTAAAAAGGTTATCTGCTGAAAATTATTTAATTTTAGATGTAATTGCGAATTACAAAATTAATGTTTATAAATAAAACTAAGAGTGACTCTGCCTTATTCAAGAGCAAATGGGTATTATTATCAGATTGTATCTGGCTTGTCAAGGTGTCGCTCAGAGAATTATTTAAGGAAACTAAGATAATGACGGTTGCCTCACAATATATTTATGAAAATGTAATTCACGCTCATAAAAACAAAAGCTTATTTAAGAAGCATAGTGATATACATAATATTAACACGAGGGGGAAAAACAAATATGTTGTCCCTGCCTCCAGGCTTCAGAAAATAACTAGTTCGTTTAGATGTCAATGTATACGCTTTTACAATAAAATTCCTAGCGATATTCAAAATTTGAGCCTCAATAAATTTAAAAGTGTAATAAAGGCTAAACTTTGCTGTAAAGCATTTTATAAAATAAAAGACTACTTAGAGGATAGTCAGGCATGGGAATGAGCCGCTGTAATGTCTGCACAGGTCATGTTGACATGTTTGTAACATAAGTTACACTTTTATATACAATTTGACATTACGTTTATTTTTTATACAATGACATAATCACCTATTGTGACATTTTATTTTTTATTTGACATTTTTTTTTATTTATTTACTGACATTTTTATTATTTTATATTATTGTTAGTGTAAGGACCGTGTGAGACTTGCCGTGCTTTTTGATTACCAGTTATCTGCGTTCTGACAGTTTGAGTACTTGCGCGACCCACCCAAATGTTCTTTAGATCGGTATTGTTCGTCGGACAACTCAGCAGCACTAGCTATACTGGTTGCAAACTGACACTTGCGTGCCTGTCTTCAGAACGGGTCCACTTAAACTGGTGTGGTTCTTTCCTCAAAAGACCACTACAGAATGAACTTGCACGATTCTCTCACATTATGTTATTTTTACATTGTCTGGACTTGAAAAGAGACTGACCTCTGAGTTTGTTTCGGCATTTCTTCTCAGAGTAGTCAGATAGGAAATGCCGGCTTCATCTAGTTTTTCACATATAAATTGACGTGTAAAAGTGCCGTTTTATGGCCTATTTGCAAAAATAAATTCATTGTTTCATTGTTTCATTGACCCAGAAGTTCTAAGGCTCTCGCTTCTTATATATGTAATACGGTGTAGGATTAAAACCTGAAAGTTACCAATGTGACTTTTTGCCAGTTAAAGACATCTTATCCGGGGTTGCAGGGTAAGCGGCTTCGGCGTAGAGCAAGAAAAGAAACGGGGGGTTTTTAGTCAGTAAGAGTCTGGCACTTTCTCTCGCCTCAACCTGGGCGAGAAAAGTCATTTGATGATTTTTCCCTAATAAAAAAGGCCTCACAGAAAACCGGAGTGAAACAACCACAACAACAACAAATCCCTAAAAGAGCGAACGGCAAGGCACTCGTGACTTAAATGGTACACGGGTGTTTATGGGTGGCGTTAG